CTGGAGCTTTAAAATAAGTAAGCAAAACAGAATAGGAGATATACATGCATGCAAATACATGCAGCAGATACAAAACATAGTAAATATTACAAATATATACTAACACATAAATGCTACATTAATATAATGTACTATATATTATACAAAATATCCATACTCTATAGCGCAGATATCATGTTAGGATTGTTAGATCAAAACCACTACTTGTCCAGAACAAAACAACAACAACAACAAAACAGATTCCTGCTCCAGGTACATGCCAATCACGTCTTTATGCAATATTGCCCCCCTCAGAAGAAAGCAGTTTTTCAATTTCCAAGTGTTAAAAGAAAATCTACTGCTTTGTATACTTATCTTTCCTTAACCCCTATGTCAGTCACTCAGTTGTTCACTTGCAGTCATACAAAACTTTTTTCATAGTTGTTCCAGTTCTATCACTTCAGCGATTGATACTGAAATTGTATCTGGGAGCAGTGGCAATTTATCAGTTCTGTCTAACTGAAAATGAGTAAGATTCCTTGACATTTTAACTTGCTGCGCACTGAAGGTTCTTCATGCTAAGACAGCTTGAAAATGACCTACCACGGGCCATCCTGAGGTTAAAAAACACAGTGCAGATGAAGTGTGTATTTTCACAGCTGAGATCACCCTACTCTTTCTGCCGGGACTGATGCCAGCGCATCACACATTTAACCACAGTGAAATTAAAATGTCGGAGTTAACTACCTTTCAACAAAAATGCAGTAAAAACCCAAAGTCTATTCTGTTTACACTGCAGTTTTTCAGGCCCAAAGCTTAATAAAAAAAAGAAAACCTGCTAGAAAAGGAGTACAAACCTTTTAATATTCTCTACATCTTTAAAAATACTTCTCCCTGCCGCTCCCCTCCCCCAAATAAAAAAAAAATCCAGAGTATAAACTGCATTTCACACTGTGATTTCCTGGCATAAAATTTAAAGAGGCTTCCAACTAGCACTCTACTTTCAAGAACCTGAATCCATCCAAGATTCTGGACATGCTGAGACCTTCAGCTAAACTAACACTGTGCTTTAGTCTGCTGTATTAAAAGGACATGCAGATTTCAAGAGCAGCACACTCGGCACAGTTACTAACCTCTAGAGCTTCCCGAAGTTGTTGCTTTAGTTCTTCGTTTGACACGTCAGTGTTAGATTCTGTAAGATTGATAGGAGATGCTAAATGATGAGATACTGAAATGTTTACAAAAGAAAACATGAGAATTTGCTTTACCCTGAAAACAGGTAACATGCGGAGGTGATTTTTCACCTTTGTGTTTTTTTTCTTCTGGAGCTAATACACAGATGTAAGAAATACAGAAATACTAAGCTCAAACACATTGTTTCACACTTAACGAAGTGAAATGGGAAAAAAAGATCAGTTGTAGAGAGACCTAAAATAAGGACAATTATTTTAGAATTGCCTTTAAAAAATAAAAACCACAACAAAATTGCCATTTTTATTCAAAAAATAATTTCATTTTTTAGATTCTTTTTAGATTGTAACTTTTCAAGAACCAAACTCAACACAACAGCAGCTGGCACTATTTAGAAGTAGGGGCAATTTTCAAGAGACGAAGATCAAGTACGGTGGTGGAGTATCCCACAAGATCCAATGCTCCTCTAAACAAGTGGTTACTACTGGTACCTTTTTTCTTAAACTGCGCATCGCAGAGATATGTTAAGATGCAGCCTCCTACTAAATCAAAGTCAGGTTCACGTGGACTTTAGTCATGCTTTCATGGATATTGCTGTGTGAAAGACCTAGATCTAAGACAAGCATCACACACAGACTGTCGGAAGGACAGTGAAACCAATCGGAATTACGCTGCTCTTGTAACATCTCTCCGACGCTGCTGAAACCAATGAAGAATAACTACATGGCTTAGCTTACTGCAGTGTGTGGAGAGGATAGTGGAGACTTGTTCTAAAGGAGAGAAATAAGCAAGTTATATGGAAATACTTCAGACAAAATACTTAAAATGGCTAAAAATGTAAGGCAAAGCAGCTGAAGTGTAATGAGCAGCACTGCCTTTATTTGATTTTATTCACAGCAGTGTTGTCTTCACAAGACAGTGAATGCCAACACTGGGAGGACGGAGATGTGCCAGTTCTAAAAACAACTTCTTAATCTCAGAAGTATGCCAATTCACAAGTTCCAACTAAATAGCAAACAGGATTTTGACTATTTAGCCATAAGCTTTAGATACAATCTCTAGGAAGACACACTTCAACAAACCAGGAATCCAAGCAATTCCATTCAATTTCATATATGTATTCAGAGAAAAACAATGCTGTCCTCCACCGCAGGATGCTCTTTGCTAAATGTCACTTTCAAAGGCAAAACTAAACACTTAAAAAATGGTCATTCTGCACTACGAAGGGCCACAGCCTCCTTCACTGAAAAGCAATTCTGCTGTTAATGTTTCGGGAGGAAGACCTAGGAACAGAGGCCGCTCTGCGGCCTCAACGGCACTGGGCATCTCCTCTTGCGACACGCGCAGCAGACTTACAGGCTGCTCCAGCCAGCCTGCGGGGCCGCGCTGGATCCCGGCAGGCATGCGGTGCACACGCGCTTCTTGGAATCCTTCAGGGGTTTCCAAGAGGTTTGGCAAATGGCTTGAATTAAACTTGATGACACCTTGTGAAGCGGCTGAAATGCTCAGTTTTGCTAACAGAGGTTTTTCTCATGGCGAATAATTAACTTCCAAATTACTCTTACCACAGCTGTTTTGTCTGGTTGACCTAGTAACAGGACTTTTGGATGGTCCGTCGTAAAAACTGTTTCGTTCTGATCTGGGAAGAGCTGCAGCATCACTTTCTTCCACTCTCTTTGCTGATAAGAGAGAATTACAAACCTTTCCAGATCCTTTCCTAGATCTCAATGAATAGGAGTTCTGTAAATTTTCCCCTTCATAAACACCCCCCGGTCTTCTCCCAAGTCCGTTTCCCAAGTCTCCACATGTCATGTCATCCTCTTCCGCTTCCTCCATCTTCTCCTCCTGGGTTTGGTTGGTTTGGTTTGGGGTTTTTTTTTCGCCCCGATTGAGGGGCGCTTCACTTACTGGCAGCGTGAACAAGTGCCTCCCGCAAAACAAGTACTTTATCTAGGAAAACAGAAAAAAAACCCTCCGTAATTAAAGCCGCAAAACAACATCAAGTGAAAAACCTGAAGCTGCTGGTGCCTGCCCGCCTCCCGCAGGGGTTCGGGCTGCCAGAAAACGCCGCTCCC